TTCTTTGATCCTGTATCTTCTGATTCAATATTTCCTGCTGCATTTTTTTGTTCTGTTCTCCCTCGTGTCGCCTTGCCAGGTAAATGCGCAGCATATCGGCGACCATGTTGAGCAGGTTACGTTCTTCGGCAGAGAAAGCATCCTCAGCCTCCTGCGGACGGTGCTGCAGGTATATAATCTCAATGATTCCAGGTTCTGCCTCAGGGACGGGGAAACTGGCAGACTGACGGTGTGCCGCTGCGCCAAAATTGGGTGTTTTAAATTCCTGCCCTCCTAATACAATCCTGGCCGCGGTTATTTCCGGGTACTGCCATCCCGATGGTAATATGGAAACGATGTCTTTAAGAATATCAGTAGTCGACCTGTTTTCAAATTGGAATACCTGGCTGATGCGATATAATGTCGTTAACTCTTTCACTCGTTCATTCAGCAAATAACGAGCATGATCCTTTTCAATTTCCACTTTTTTCCGCTCGCTGATATCCAGCAACATTCCGATGATGGCAGTTCCTGCCTGGAATAATGTACCCCTGCAATAAACTTCGATCCTGGTGGTGGTGCCATCTTTCTTCAGGCCATCTGCTTCGTAATGGACACTTTCTTTTTCTCCCTCTACCCTTGCCCTTACGTTTTCACCTACTCGTTTCCTATAATCAGGATGAATGACGTTCTCAAAGGGCATCACCCCAATCATCTCTTCCGGTTTATATCCGAATATCTCGGCAAACCGGGGGTTGACGTAAGCAAACCTTGCGTCTTTAATAATGTAAACACCGATGAGTGATTGCTCAACGAGGTTTCGAAACTTTGCCTCGGCTTCAATTAATTCAATCTCCGCCTTTTTCCTTTCGGTGATATTGTTTGTTTGGATGAAAGCACCGATCACCTTACCATTCTCATCAGTTACAGGATCATACTGCACAACAGCCCATTCAAGTTTACCTTCATGTTGAAACGATATTTCATACTCCACTTTTTCACCAGCGAACACACGGGCAAGACTTGCTCTGACAGGCTCATTGCGTTCAAGAGGTATCAGGTCGG